TCAACTAATAACTGCTTCTCATGATGTCAACCATATGTTCCAGCCATCTGTGAATATTTCAGACCTTGTCATCTGCTAGCCAGCTAAGGTTGGCCCTTGCTGTTGAAAAGTAAAAGAGTCAGATATTTTTGAACAATGGGCCCAGAAATTAATTTGAGGAATGTCTGTCTTTTTAGAGAGACTGTGTTTAAAAGATGTCATGGAAAAGGAACAAGTTTTACCACGCAAGACTGAAGCTGACCTGGAAGTGGATTTTAAAATGACAGGCTACATGAATGATAGATGCGCGGGGCATGCTGGGGGGGGGGGGGGCTGTCTCATGCGCATTGCCTTCTGGGTGCTGGCATGCAAGCGCATGCACAAATTTCAGCATGGGAGCCCAAAAAGGTTACCCACCACTTTTCTAGGGCATTATTTGAAGGGATTAAAGTTCAAGATTGTTAAAAAGCATATAAAATTGGTTGATTCGATCAAGGTCAAAATACACATATCATTATCTCTGGTAACCCTTAATGGACTTTTGCTGATTAGGACTGAATGGTGCAACTCTAATTATTTGTTTATAGATAAAGGAAGAAGATACCATATATTGTATTTTAAGAGAAGGTGGTAAGCTAGTAAAATTATTTATACTATTTGTGAAGAAAGGGAAAGTCACTTTCTCCCCCTTTACTATCGTCTTTTTCTCTTTTTCTGCACTTTCTATTTCTGTTTTTTTTTTTCTAATTTGCATTAGTTTTTATCTTTTCAATTATCGTGTCTAATACAATTACTACATAGAAATGAAAGAGCCAGATCTACCTGGAATCCGATTGAGCGTTACCCAAAAGTGTTCATCGGGGCTGTAAGTGTCTTTGGACCATTGCAGCAAATCAATGGCCCTTGAGTCATTGAAAAGGAACTCCACAAAAGGCCTAGTGAGAGCGATATAGGCAGACCCAAAGTAGATAGTGAGGTTGTGGGGAGGTGGCGGTTTTAGGATCTCGGTCCTTTTCATGTAGGAAGCTTTCTTGCCTATGTGCTCCTTGTAAACAAATTTGGTCCTTAAAGTTATGGGCGGTGGGGGGAGGACGCCAGGGGTGAGGTTCTTCCCTTTGAACTTCTTCAGGTGCTGGACAATCTCCTTGTTGGTTTTCAGTGGGAAATCTTGCCCACACATGTTGAGGACGTACTTCCACCGGGTGGTGGATCTCAGCAGGTCCTTCATGCAGTTCAAATCAGCCTGAAGCCTGGAGATGCCAGCGTAAACTACAGGCTCGGCTTTGGAGACCAGGAAGGCGTTGGGGAAGCACTCCAGCATTTTCTCCACCTCTTGCTTGTACCTGGCGGGCACCTTCTCATCCACGTGGATGCAGTAGACATTGTGGGGCGCGTAAACAGCCCTGAAGAGCCGCTCGAAGGTGGCCAGCTCTTTGTGGAGGGTGAAGATGTAGGCCAAGGGAAAGGTCGCCTCTTCGGCGGTGACGGATCTGGTCACATAGTGGCTCCCCGACACATAATCTTGGCAGGAGGCGGCTCGCTCCAAGGGCGTCCGGAGATGGTTTCCCCACACGAAGGTCTTCTGCCCCCGAGCCAGAGCCCCACAGACGCGCCGGAGGAAATCGCTCTCCCGGAGCTGAGGCAGCTGGGGTAACCGAGGCGGCGGAGTCTGTTTGGAGACCGGGGGAGGTTGCCCGAGGAACAGGAGCAGCAGCGCCGAGAGACCGCTCAGCACGAAGACGGCGAAAATATACGGAGGCTTCCCAGACCGCATAGTCTCCCGGGGACGGCCACAAGCCCGGAGTAAAAGATGGACCTAAAGCCCGGAGTAAAAGATGGACCTAAAGCCCGGAGCGGCGGCGGCGGCGGCTCCTTCCGCGGACGCCCAAGCGATGCATTCAGCTCACCAAGCTTTTTCTCTTGAGCCGCCGCGCCAAAAGCTCCGAGCGATGCTGCCTTCTTCTTTTTTTAAATTTTTATTATTATTATTATTATTATTTCTTTTTGCTCAGCCGGTTGCTAAGCAAAGCGCTCCGGCTGGGCTCAGACCGCGCGACGCCGGGCATCCAAGGCTACTGAAGGTCCCTCATATAGTAGTAGTAGTAGTAGTAGTAGTAGAATCTCATCTGCGTCTCTTCCAAGGCTGCTCCCCACCCACCGCTCCGGACCCTCGCTCGGCCTCCCTGGAAGATCCGCGACTCAGGCTCGCCCCTGGGGGAAAAAAGGGAGCTCATTTGCTTATCCAAAAGAGGGCGGGATCGGCTGGGGCTGGGCGCGCCTCGCTTTTCCACAGCCCGGGGGCGGAGGCGGGGTTAGCAGGTAGCGCGGTCCCCCGGGCGCCTCGTGGTGCAGGCTAGACATCGGCTGATTTGAGGCCGTGCGCTGCTGAACTCTCGGCTTCCCGCCAGAAGACTTTAAGGCTCGGTTCGTCTCCTTTGGCGGACTAGTTCAAAGAGCGTCTGAATGGGCCCACAAGGGAGATTGACCCGGCCCCGGGGGCGTAGCTAGGCCGGGAAGAAGATGGCGCGTTGTGCTATCCCCTCTTCGCTCCACACTTACACCAACTTTATGGTCACTTTGAATGAACGCTAATCGGGCGTACGTTAAAATAAAATTGCGTGGCATACAACTCTCAAAGGGCCGCCACCTCCAAGATATGCTATATAAACATGACAAATCAATTAATTAATAAATACAAAACGATGCACATACTCACATATCCCCAGCTACTTTCTTTGATTCACACCAGTTTACTTGGGTGGGAAAGTAAATTAAGCTGGATGTTAAGGGAAAGAGGAACCAGGTTTATTTGGAAGAAGGTTTGAGGAAGGAGGAAAATGCCATGGAGGGAAGAAAAAAGAAAAATAAATGCTATATATATATATATATATATGGCCTTCGGCTTTGTTCGGGTATATACAGAAGCCTGCTAGGTTTTGTAGTGGTGCTCCTCTACAAAACTCATACCACTTCTTGGAAATGATCAAAGATCTACATGTGGAGCAAGAAGATCTGCTTGTAAGTTTCGACGTGGTTTCACTTTCACTCAAGTCCCGATAAAAGACCCTTGCACCCTGACTAAAGTACACAAAGGGAATGCCACAGTAGTAATGGATAGAAAAGCCTATGAAACAAAATTGACAGACCTACTCCAAGACTCCACATACAAACCCATAAACAGATGCCCCAAACTATACAGACTCCCAAAAATACACAAAGAAGGCATACCTCTCAGACCCATAGTCAGCTCCAGAGGAGCACCGCTACAAAACCTAGCTAAACATTTAGCAAAACAACTACAGCCCCATGCTGAAACAGCAGCTTCACATGTACAAAACTCATACCACTTCTTGGAAATGATCAAAGATCTACACGTGGAGCAAGAAGATCTGCTTGTAAGTTTCGACTTGGTTTCACTTTCACTCAAGTCCTGATAAAAGAAACTCTTGAAATCATCAAAAATAAATACCAATCAGCTAAACACCTCATGGAACTAACAGAACACTGCTTAACCAATACATATTTCATATACAAAGGACAAAGATACAAGCAAATTGAAGGAGCCCCTATGGGATCACCACTGTCACCCATCATTGCAAACCTGTTCATGGAAGAATTCGAATCCAGAGCCCTGGCTAATGCCACCCACAAACCCAAACTATGGTTAAGATACATCGATGACACATTTGTGATTTGGCCCCATGGAAAAGAAAACCTAAACAATTTCCTAACACACCTAAACAGCACACACCCCAAAATCAAGTTCACCATGGAAACGGAAACAAACAAACAACTACCATTCCTAGATGTACTAATCTACAAAAAAACAGATGGCACACTAGGACACACCATATACCAGAAGAAAACCCACACCAACCGCTACCTCAACGCCCAATCCCACCACCACCCAGCACAGATAAACTCCGTGGCTAAAACACTAATTACCAGAACCAAACGCCTGGCAGACAAGACACACATTAAGACTGAACTATGCACCCTGACTAAAGTACTGACAGCCAACGGCTTCCACAAAAGCAAAATCACCAGCTTGATCCACAAAAACACACTGAAACATAATAGAGACCCAGAAGATGAACAGACCTATGGAACAGCTGTCCTGCCCTACATAAGAGGTACTACAGACAAAATTAGTAAGGTACTACACAGACATCACATCAGGACTGCCTTCAAAACAGACAGAAAAATAGCAGCCATCCTTAGCAACCCCAAAGATAAAATTGACCTGGAAAACCAAGGCATATACGAAGTCCCCTGTGCATCATGCCCGGCCACATACATTGGACAGACCAATAGAAGAATAAGTACCCGCCTGGATGAACACAAAAATGCAGTCAAAAAGCTGGAACACACTTCCTCACTAGTCCAACACATGGAAGCTACAGGTCATAGCATCAACTTCAATGGCACCAAAACCCTGGCCACTATGGAAAACCCTAGCCACAGAGTCATCAGAGAAGCCATAGAGATTGAAAAAAGACCAGAAAGCATGAACAGAAGAGATGATTCCACCAGGCTGTCAATCATTTGGAAGCCTGCACTCACAAACAAAAAAATCTCCACACCACAAGCCAGGCAAACACCTGGGCACAAACAGATCCCCCCTGATACCTCCAGCTCAAACACACCCCAACCAGGCACCCAGATGAAACCCAGCTTCCTAACTAATGATAGCCGTCCATTTACCCGAAGCCAAGCTGCACTAAAGGCCTCCAATAAAGCAACACAATGCTGCCAGCCAATCAAGATACAAAAAGAGCCAAAAAACAGACAGAAGATATTAGAGACACCAATCAAGCAGAACACAGCAAACTCCGAGACCAATAAACACAGACCAAGACTCCCAACCAATCAGGATGAAGAAAAAACCATTCTGGCACAGCAATAGGCTGCCCCAAATTTAAATCTGAAACCACTGTAAAAGTCTGACTCACAGACGGACACAATACAGAAGCCTGATGATGGCAGATGAGATTCTGCTGAAACGTTGCTACAACTTTAAAAGCACCACTACTATGACGTGGGAAAATACCCGAACAAAGCTGAAGGCCATATATGTATATATATATATATATATATATATATATATATATATATATATGTGTGTATATATATATATATATATATATATATATATATATATATGTATGTATGTATGTATGTATGTATGTATGTATGTATGTATATGTCTAGGTGTGTTCGGGTCTTTTCCTGTGTAAGATTAAGAGTATCTTGGTGACGTTTCAGCGAGGTCCCACTCGTCATCCTCAGGCTGGTGCTTTCGGCTTCGTGCCAGTGCAAGCAGTGTGTGATCGGAGCTGCCGTCTCTATATAAATACTCTCTATAAACTCTCTATAAACTCACAAGGCCATCACACAGCCCATTACACCAACATCAACTCCATCAACCAATCAAGAGGCAGCAGCACAGCCAACCAGACCAACACACCAGCCCCCCCCCCCACCAGTATTTATAGGGAAGAACACAATACAGAAGCCTGATGATGCCAGATGATGCCAAAACGTTGCTACAACTTTAAAAGCACAACTACAATGACGTGGGAAAATACCCGAACAAAGCTGAATACCATATATATATGGTATTGAAGAGATGATTCCACCAGACTGTCAATTATCTGAAAGCCTGCACTCATAAACAAAAAAATCTCCACACCACAAGCCAGGCAAACACCTGGGCACAAACAGATCCCCCCTGATATCTCCAGCTCAAACACACCCCAACCAGGCACCCAGATGAAACCCAGCTTCCTAACTAATGATAGCCGTCCATTTACCCAGAGCCAAGCTTCACTAAAGGCCTCCAATAAAGTAACACAATGTTGCCAGCCAATCAAG